CTGTTGAGAGAAATGACAAATACAGTACTTTAATTTTTGAATATACTATTCTATGTAATGCAATTTCAGTCTCCAAAGACTCATGTGGGTCTAGAAAGCCCATTGCTCATTCTATGATATACACCTTACTTACTACTTAAAATAATTGGATTTTATTTGTAAAATACAATGCTAGAGTAAGCCTCATGTTCCTAAAGATATTTTCTATTTTGTACCAATCAATTCATAAAATGTGTCATTTCTCCTAAAATGCACTTTATAGTGAAAGAGTATCAAACAGATTCCAAAGTTTCTCTAGGATGATTCACATTTTTCTTGCCAGCTGTTATGACATGAATATAGATGGTTAGGCTCCCGTGTGAGAAGTAACACATGAGACCTGTTCCAGGTTTCTGCTTCTATGTGCACATACAACAAACTACGCTACAATTTAGTGGCTCTGGACATCAATTTATTATTTTCTGTTCCAGTTCAGAGGGATAATGGGCTCAGTTGGGTAGTTCTGGTTTAATATGCTTCATAAAGTTGTAGGCAAATATAACTGTGCCCAGAGTCACTTGAAGGCTTCTGATATGTCTAGTGCAGACTGGGATGGCAGAAACAGCTGGGAGCTCATTAGGTGTTCCTTTTTCTCTTACCCTCTGTCTGCTCCTCCTCTTCCTCTTTTTACTTCTCTTTCCTCTTCCTGTCCATGTCCTCATTCCTTCTCCATTTCCTCCCCCTGCCACCCACCCCGTCTTCTTGTGGCTTCTCCATATGACTAGATCAAGCTCCCTCCTAGTACTGGAAGTATCAGGGAACTTAGATTTCTTACATGGAGGTTGGCTTCTCCCAAGAAAATATTCCAAGTTGCCTGAATGGAAGCTGTAAACTTTTTAATGAGCTAGCCTCAGAGATCACAGAATATCACTCTATTGCATTCTACTATCCAGCTCATCACTAAGGTCAACAGAAGGCACATGAGACCACACCACGCAAGGGAAGGAGATGTAAAGAAACTGCCACCATCCTTGATTTACCATAATACCTAGACAACAATGGAATATTGTGAGAGTTCTTCAAACTTTTTTCTTCCTTTCATAGTGATTTTAAAAGATACTGAGATTACCATAAAACTCCTAAATTTAGACTATGTCAATTAGTTATTTAACCTAATTTGTTAATTGGTAATTAAGAAAATATAGGGCGGTGCCTGTGGCAAACCCCGTCCCCGCCAAACTGCAACAAAAATTAGCCAGGCATTGTGGCAGACGCTGGTGGTGGTCACAGCTACTTGGGAGGCTGAGGCAAGAGAATCGCGTAAGTCCAGGAGTTGGAGGTTGCTGTGACCTGTGAGGCCAAGGCACTCTACCGAAGGCAACAAAGTGAGACTGTCTCAAAAAAAAAAAAAAAAAAGAAGAAGAAGAAGAAGAAAGAAAGAAAAAGAAAAACAATATAAAAACTAATATAAAATTGTCCTTTGTGCTCAGTTTGGCTTACTGATGAGAACTTTTATTTTTTTCAAGAATCTGTTAAAAGAATTATCAAGAATGTTCTCTATGAGTGATATCTGTCAATAAGTACAAAAGTAAATAATCTGCCAAGATGTAGTGATTTCAGCCACTTTTAATGCCACTCCAATTTGCCTCCTAACTCACTAGGAACATCAAAAAGCTGCAAAATGAATTTCTGAGTGTGTTTATTACTCTCCAGACCATGCCAGCTGCTACATGACCATGAAATAGAACCACAGCACTTTCAAACTTTCAATGTTTTGGTATGTTCAGCATAACCCATTTTCACTAGATATGGAAGCATGACTCAAGAGAAGGATAAGTATATTAATTAAGCTAAGATAAATATTTTATATGACACAACCATCTACAAGTTGGCATTGAGAAACTGCATTCTCCTCAAAGCAGCTTATAGAAAGGGTGATTTTGTTAAATAAAGCAGCTGGGTTACTTCTAGTTATCCATTTATTGCTGAATTACAAACTTTCCCAGACTTAATAACTTAAAAGAACAATCATTTTATTATATCTCACAAATCTGTAGACCAACATTTTGGGCAGGGCTCAACTGGGCAACTCCTCTCTATAGAGCAATGCCTGAGGTCACTCAGTGATATTCAGCTGGTGACTGGAAAGTGCAAGGTGCCTTCACTCAGATGTCTGGAACTCGTGGGTGCCCCACATCCATTCTTGGTCTCAGGGACTTTACCAGAAGGCCTGTCCAGGAGAGCAGTCCGTCTTCTTTCATGAAGGCTCAGGTTCCAACAGTAAACGTTCCAACGGACAGAAAAGAAAGCTACCAATAAATATTAGGCCTGTGCAGCACATTAGCATCCTGTCACTTCTGCCATATTCTTCTGTTTAAAGTAGTCACAGAGAATCTGCTCATTTTCAGGAAGAGAAGGCATAGACCTTGACTCTCGATCAAAAGAATTGACAGTGATACCGGAAAAGTGGCACCCCAGCCAGCTCAGCCGAGCAGGGCCTGGGGGATCTGCCACTTCTGTCTTGGTGGCAGCAGCCGGCAAAAAAATCGGCAGGTTGGGGCAAGCGAGGGAGCTTTCTTCCCCAAGAGGCTCCAGTAGAGGGGGCTAGAGGACCTGTCAATCAAGTGAAAACTGGTGCCCATCCCTGATTGGTCCATTTTCAATCCTGCTCATGATTGGTTCATTTTATGGACCAATCACAACTAAGCTATTACACCTATATAAGGCCCTGAGCAGAGAGCCTGGGGGCAGATCATCCAAGATCACTGCAGATCATCGCAGACCTTCAAGGAAGATAGAGCAGAAGAACAAGACTTCAGCAGACCATTGCAGACCGTCCAGAGGAAGAAGCGAGAGCTGCGGCACTTCTAGTGCTGAAGCTGCTCTACAAAGAGGCTTGGATCTTTGTAGGAGTTGGAACACTTCCGCTGCTGATCTTGCCTTACAAAGAGGCTTGGCCCTTTGCTGATCTCTGCCCTGCAAAGAGGCTTGGTCCTTTGTAAGAGCTGTAGCTGTAACATTTCTGCTGCTGATCCTGCCCTGCAAAGAGGCTTGGCCCTTTGTAAGAGCTGTAGCACATCTATCCTGCTCTACAAAGAGGCTTGGCTCTTTGTAAGAGTTCTTTTCATAAGAGTTGTAACACTTGTATCCTGCCCTGCAAGGAGGTTTGGTTCTTTGAGCTGTAAATAAAACCTCACTGTTCATTCTATGGTCTATCAATTCATTCATCGAATCGTTGAGACCAAGAGCCTGGAAATCCAGTGTTAAAAATCCGGTATCAACAGCACTGTGTCATTTACTGCAGAGCCCGTGAGGAGGCAGACATTTCTGAAGCCATATTCTGGAATGTCTGACCTGCAGGCTCTTAAGAGTTAGCTCAAAGACAGATACACAGGGGAAACTCAAATGACGTAAATTAGAAACAATGAGCCAAATCTACAGGTGGCATTACTTACTCTCAATTGAAAAGTAGAATCCAGAAATATTAATTGTGTAATGCGAAGAAGTTTCCCAAATATAGTTAAGTCAGAATCTTTAACTATGTCAAGGCACTGAGTAGAACTTTTGAAAAACTGAATGTCAGATAACCTCTCTAGATTACAGGGCAGGCACCAGTTATAATGCAGTGCATGCATTTCCCACTCAATCAGAAAGCACTTGCAGAAATAAAACAGTAATGTTTTAAAAATCTTTTGGAGGAGGTATGGTTTTTCTCTTTCAAAAACTAAATCCTAAAAAAAGGGAAAAAAAAACCCAGTAAAGCATACATTCTATGCCCAGTTTTCAAAACAAAACTTAGGCTCATTTGAATTGTTTTTTATTGTTATATATTGCTATATTTATACACTCTCCCACAAATGAATTACATAACACTTGGGTTATCAGGGCCCTTCACAGTCAACCTAACACTGCTTTCCTGGGCTCATTTACCATTGATTTTCTCCCAATACCTTGTAGTCAAAGACCAAAGGGAACACATTTATAATTGAACATTCTGAGTTCATTATTCACTGCAGAAAGAGAAACCATAAACCAGGAGGAATCATGGTGCCTGATAGTTCTCATAAAATGTTAGAAAGGACATATAGGATTTGAGCTTGTTTTCCATGATTTGGGCTTACCATGTTCAGATAAGTGATCATATTTTCTTGATCAAACGTTGTCAGTGTCCTTGTGCTATGTTGAAGCTTTGTGAAATTATGTTCATCAGGAGAACACCAGTTCCTACTCCAGACTAGCTCCAGGTGTCCTAGGCTCCTTCTCTCTTCCGCACTCCAGACTTGCTGTACTCTGCTAGATTGGGGTTATCTCAGCCCTCTGTTCCTCCTTCTGTTCCATTCAATTCCTTGTACCTTCAGTAACCCTTCCCTTAGCATTCTAACTCAGTTTCTCTCGGAAGTTCTTTGTGCTTCGCGTTGTCTGGTGCTTCATTCCCTCCAATAAGATCATGGTACACGTCTCTCAGCACTGGCAGACCACTGCAGATCACTGACACCTAAAGTACACTGTATTCACAAGAAAGGAAGGAGGATGGTTTTATTTTTGTTTCACAGACTAGATCACGCAGGTGAAATTGCCTTACTTGATTCAATAAAATCTTCTTTGGTAACAGACTTCACAAATCCAGTCCTGAAAGCAAGAAAAGAACTCAGGTCTTCAAGAATCATTGTTGGAAAGAAACAGGTTCTCAACTTGTGGATCCGGTAAGACCATCATCCTGCATATCAGATATTAACATTGAGATTCATAATAGTAGCAAAATTACAGTTATGAAGTAGCAACGAAAATAATTTTATGGCTGGAGGTCAGGACAACATGAGGGACTGTATTAAACGGTGGTGGCATAAGAAAAGTTGAGAACCATTTAGTTCAGTTTGACCAGAGCCTGGAACGAGACTACATTTCCCACAATTCTTCAGGGCCTACCCGCCTCCAGCATGCTGGAAACTACAACTCCCACAATCCACAGAGACCGCGCCCTCGTCTGGTTTCCGGAAGACCCAGCACCTTTTCCCATCTACCCTTTCGGTCCTTGCGCGCTTGGGAACAAGGTCGGGTAAACAGGTCTGGGTGCTGCCGCCATTTCTACCGCCTTCGATCTCTGCGCCTTTTGCAGAGCTCTCCAAAGGCGCCATGTTGGCACAGAGCGTCCGGAGGTTCACGACCTCTGTGGTCCGTAGGAGCCACTACGAGGAGGGCCCCGGGAAGGTTAGTGTGTAAGGGGCTCGGCCTGGTGGGGTGCAGGGGAGGTGGCAGCGACTCCTTCACCGGCAAAGGCGCTCACTTACTGTGAAGACTGTGACAGGTTGGGAATTGGGGCTGAAACGCAGACTTTCTGCCAACCCCAGGTCTAAGGGAAAAGCTGGGGACCCCAGCGCGCATGGCCACAAGGACAGGACAGGTAGCCGGGAGCCGTACACAGGCCCCCACCGTCCCCTCCCCCCACAGCGAACGGACAGACAAAAAAAAGAGAGAGGAAAAAGAAAAAAACCTCTGAATGGTCCCGGAGAGCAGGGCTGCAGGTGTGGTGGCGTAAAGCCAATCTGGAGGTCATCGGACCCCGAATGAAGGTCACTGGACATTAGTGAGGAAACGAGGGCCTGTGGTTGCGGATCAAGCTTTTTGTAACTAGTCGACTATGTTAGAAGTTCTCAGTCAAGATCGGGTTTGACCTCAGGTGAAAATAACTTAAGTCAGATAGTGCAGATATACCAACCTTTGAAGGTTAAACGAGGCCTCATCGTAAAGGGCAGGGTATGGCTGCTCAGTGATGAAACGTCATTACCTTATAGCTTCCTTACTGGGTAGCTGGTTTACAATAAATAATAAACGCGCGTTTTGTTTCTAAAAGGACTCCTTTGGAGAGTACTTATGTCCTAAAATAGAAAACTTATCTCTAATTTTTTCCTGAGTCCTTAGAACCATTGAGTAGTGTTCAGTAAATGCAGTTGTTACCTTCTAATGTTATATGTATGTTAAAAGTCCATGGAGTTTGAAAGATAATGTTTAAAAAGGTAGATGATTGTGTAGAGTACATACACATTTAGCATCCCCTGTGTTCTTGCCCCCCCCCCTTTTTTAGTCTATAAAACAGCTGATTTGAAGTTCTATTTTTGTTACTTGTTTTTCCAACAGAATTTGCCATTTTCGGTGGAAAATAAGTGACGGTTACTAGCTATGATGACTTTGTACCTTGGATCTGGATTTGCTGCACCTTTCTTTATAGTAAGACACCAACTGCTTAAGAAGTAAAGATGTCTTCATGCATCCATTTAACAGGTAATTAATGGATCTGTAATCTTCCCTGAAAAACACATGTGCTCCCACAAATGCATTGTTGTGTATGCCATCTGAGACACAAAGATGTTAAGTTGGCCAAGATCCCATAGGTAGAGATGATGGCCAGGATTCCTACCCCGGCAGTCTTGGTCCAGAGCCCTCAATTTTTAACCAGGGAAAGTTATAATAAACTGATTATTCTGTCACAAACACTTGCTAAAATAACACTGGTTTAGAACATGTCTTTCAAAACACTATAAAATTTTTAATTTGTTTTAAAGTGCTTACTGTGCTCTCTCCCAGTTTGTATAATCTTGGCTAACAATATTGATTTAAGTTGTAAAAACCCCAGAAGATCAAATCCTTACAGTGTTCCTTGATAAATCAGTCTCAGATGTTTGTACTGGTATAAATCTATGTGTGACCAAGGCAGCCATCATGGGAAACTCAAAACTTTTGAAGATACTTTTCTCAGTAAGGAGTGATTCTCTGATGATTTTGCTCCACAGTGAAGGATTTGGCAATATCTGGAGACTTTTTTTTTTTTTATTGTTCCAATTGGGGGGCAAAATTCCAGTAGTGTGAAGGTAGAGAAACATTGTGTTAAGAGACTATGTTAGTCTATACCCAGGGGAATCTTATGTATTGGGAGGTTTGCAAATTTCCAGTGTGTGAATAAAAGATTTATTTAGTTTGTTTGTGATCAGAGTTTCTCAAAGTAATAGGACAGCCTATTGAATGATTGGAATAAATTCCAAAATATACCTTAGAAAGGGAAGACTACTTCTCATAGTTAAGAAAGGCAACTATTTATCTAAGCCATTATTATGGAAAGGGTTTGGTGCATATGATGAAGCAAATCAGTATGAATAAAGTCATGATACTGTAAACGCTTTCTGATGTACCTGTCACAGTGATGGTCTTTTAATGAAACTGCATGATTCCTGTTACATGAATGAGTGCTTTTTAATGCCATTAATTTTTGGTTTTTATTTTGCAGATATGAAGAGCATTTTAAAAGGTGTATTCTGTTTGAAAAATGGATCAAACTCTTGAACTCAATAGCATACTGTTTGAGTTTGTAAATAAACTTAAGATGTGACTGCTTAATGTCTCTTTTCTGAAATACAAGTGAGAGTTGAGCGTTTGCTTACTTTATTATTTGGGTAGTAGTCCATTATCAGTTTCTTAAGAACTGTGTGTGATTTAGCTTGTTTCATGGTATTAAATACTGAGATTTTTATTTAAGTTTAGATTTCTAGGTCAGGATTTTGTTGGACTTTTTTTGTTTATATACTTTTAGTCTACCCCTTTACTTTTGACAGTGTAAACTTGGTTTTTCTCCATGAGTGCTTAATTGATTTTGAAAAAAAAAACAGTAGTGTACAGGTTGAAGTCCTAGTTAATCGGGTATTTAAGAGCTGCTGTTTTGTCTTCCAGGCCTATTACCTGAAACTGAAATTTTTACCTCATTAAATATTGGTGACCAGTATTAGTCTTATTTAGACCAGAAAAAGAATATTTAAAGTAGAATATAATAGCATATAACAGATGATGTAGAAAATATTCCCAGTGTATTCTGGAATTTTGAGTATAGTATACCCTAGTAGAAATGAGGTTAAGAAATGGCAGTGATTCATAATTGTATCTGTGAATCAAAATAGTGAAGTACTATTTAAAATATAATGACTTAATTCTTATGACTGTGTAAAATAGAGTAGTAATTAGCTACTGAATATTTTCATTTCACCTTGGTCACTACTGAAATACTGGTGTTGGAAGAATACTGTAAAAAAGATTGCAAACTGGTGGTTTGTTTAATCTCTAGTTTACAACATTTAAAAACGAGTATCCACATAAAAATATTTCTAAGTGGTTGAAAAATTGCCCTGGGTGGTTCTACATGCATGCATGAGACAAAATAGCTGCCTAAGTCACTACTCACCATAACATTAAATTTCCTGTAGGGCTTCCTGTAAAACCAAATGGCTGGAACTTAAATTTTGAGTTTTTTTCTCTCTGTTTATTTTGCTAGGTCCTATCTTTAGAATCTTCAAAACCAACTGGCAACTACTTAAATGTGGATGCACCTTAGTTTGTAAGACTTTTCCTAGATATTCCCCTGCACTTTATTGCCATCCTTTTTTTTGATTGTCCTGTGATGATTTGGTGTCATCCTGCACTTTTTTTCTGTGAATTGTCAAGCTTTTTCATCTTCAGAAAACAGGAATAAATTCCCAGTTTTGGGGAATTGAGATAGTGCTTATTGTTTTGAGGTCTAGTGAGCTGTAAAAACTTTTTCTGAAATTAAAAAAAAAAAAAAACTTTTTCTGACACATCTTAAATGAATACGATTCTTTTTTTCTGGTTTAAAAATACATTAAGAATCAAAAGTAACAGTAATGGATAGCCAGAATTAGGTATAAAGTTTGAATGTTATGACACATGTACATCAGTATCAAAGAAACTTCCCCTGTTTTTCCTCTGCCCATAAAAAGACTTCAGACTGTTCAAGTATGTTGTGAGCAGAAGAGACCAGACAACTGCCTAGTTTCTGTTGTAGGTTCTCCAGAGAGATAGGTCGAGAAGGGTGCAGATGGAGAGGAGTTTAAGAATTGTCTCATGCAATTGTGGGAGGTTGGTAAGCCCAAATGCGAGTGTGCTAACAAGCTGGAGACCCAGAAAAATATCCAAATGCAGTTTACTGGTGTAATAATTCCTCCTTAAGGTTCAGTGTTTGTTCCGTTAGGCCTTCAACTGATTGGGTAAGGCTCACACACAAAAGTGAATTAAAAGGATAATCTATAATTCAAAAAACTATATTGTTTGACCAAATGTTTGGACACCACCATGTTGTAGCCAAGTTGGCACAAAATGAGCTGTAAGTTTCACGTAGGCAGGTGACTAGTTAAGAAGTCTAAAAACCACCGCAGGAAAAAAAAAAGGGTAACTTCACACCTAAACCAGGTTTTACAAATTCAGGCTGACACTTAAAACCACAAGGTTTCCCCCAGTATGCAGACTCTTGAAACTGGATGGACCCACACATACCTAGGTGAAACCAAGCAAGGCCATTTCGAATTTGTGCCTTGTGCAGATACTTTCCTGACTCAGCAGAATATCTGAACAGGGGTTTTAGAACCCAGGATTCTTTAAAAGAAGCCACTTTCATTGCTTCTATAATTATGCTCTGGCCACACTAGAGGAAAGCAAAGTGTTGGCATGTTTTGCTGCTGAGTATGATAGAGGGGGGGACACCTCCAGAACTCTTGCTTGAGTTCAAAACCGGGCTTGATGCTCCTCAGCTTCAGGGGTGGTACCTTACTTTACTTTTAACTTAATAGTTGTAAAGATTAAGGAGGAAAATATGCCTAAATTCAGGCAAATTTCATTAGGCTTCTAGTGTAGAAGGCTTTAAGTACAGTGAGATGGAGAAACCTAACCAGCATTATGGGAATAAGCCATTCAATTTCCAGTCACCCGAATTACTTAGGGTTCCAGGAGTCTGTCCAGCAGATGCATCAGCTTTAACATCTCCAAAAGTGATGACAGAGTGATGGTACTAAAGCCAGTGTAATATAATAGACTGTCACCTTTAGTGTAAAACTCTAGCGCCTTATCCCGGCATTTAGTCACTTACCCAGTTTCAGCCACACGGCAGCATGAGTATTATGTCCCACCTTGGAGTCTAGCTCAAGCACCAGCTTTTCTGTAAACTCAACCTTGACTTATTTCTCCCCTTGTTCCTAACACTACACAAGTGCAGCTCCCTATTAAACACCTTATAATTACTTAAGCATATACTGGAATTAATAATTTCCTTACCTACCTGCCTATTAGCTTGTAAACTGTGTGTGACCAGAGGCTTTTATTTTTTATTTTTTTTACCAGAGGCTTTCATTTATTCATGTATCCTGCATCTGTACTTTACTGAGTGGTCAGTTAACATAACACTAGCAAGAGGAATGGTTTGACAGTGATCAGATTTGACCAGTTAGGATTTTCTCGCAAGTCTATGTGGGCAGAGTGGATGCTGCGGTGCATCAGGATTCCATCAGAAAAGGAAGGAAAAGTGGCTGCTGGGTGTGCAAAACACAGTTTCTGCTGCAACTATTCTAGATCCTGAGAAGATGGACCCCAATGCCAAAAAATGTGATGAGCCTTCATCTTAGTGTATCCAGTAAATAAACCGTAGTTTTGTATAACTTCATAATGTGCCGATTATAGAATAGAGGAGAAACAAGGCCTATGGTACTTCTCTGCCTCAATGGAAAACTGAATCCTTAATGGTAATAAGAGGATTTTTTTTTAAGGATTTATACTTTACCCACAATTTAAATAAAACTGTATTATTAAATGATACTTGCTTTCACAGCTATTGTAATTTTACAGACCAGAAGGAAAATGACCACTTTCTACGAATCTATATTATCACTTAGTAGATAATTTAAATAATTTATAATTAATTTTGGAGAGAGTTCTTAAACTCATTTGAAAGTGAGGATGCAATCTGGCTCCTTTTCTAACCTGGTATAGTAGTCATTAAGGCTCTGCATAATGTAAAGTAGACAGTTCTACTTCTGAATACATGGCAGGATCCAATCTATCTCTTTTGCTTTGGCAATGAAACAATGACCAGAAGTGATGTGTGTTACTTCTAAATGGCAAGCTTTAAAAGGCAATGCACCAGTCACCAAATTCCTTCTGCTACAGCAGCTTTTTCAACCATTTTTTATCTCAGGCACATTTGAACCTATAGTTAAACTTCCACAGCACATTTAAATTGTGTTGATCCAAAAAAAAAAAAAAAGAAAAGAAAAGGAAAGAGGTATGAAATGTGTATTTACTGTACTTCGAACTTCTTTAGAGAATAAAGTTCTGTAAAATTTTTTGTGACACACCTAAAATCCTCTCATGGCACACTGGTTGAAGATTACTGACTGAGAACCAGCTTAAGCACGTGTAGATCCAAGCAGTGACTACAGGGAAACTGAAAGAAAGGCATCTGAAAACGAACAGGGCCCAAGGCAAGAGTTTCAGAATGGCACCACTGCCAAGTAAATGCACGTGTCGGGGAGATGGCTCCCTGGAGGCTTGGTGGTAAGAAGAGCAGGAGGAAAGCAAGAGGGAGAAATCAATGTCCCTGTGAAAATGGAAAGAAGGTCACTGAAATTGGAAGACAGCACCCAAGTTTTCTCATCAAAACAAGTGCAACGTTGGTTAAAGAAGAAAGTGCCTTTGAACTAAGAAACCTAGTTATCTTCCTCAAATTCCCAAATCCAGTTTAATAATAACTATTATCAGGACAGGAAAAAAAAAATAAAGCAAATATATGACACATTTGTGTTAAGTTACCATAAGAAGAAAATAGAAATTATATAACATTTCAGGTGATGAAAATTCTGCCCCCACTTAATACTATCCTGAATCAGAAAAAAATATGTAACCGATCCAATCTGAATTAAATAACTTTAAACAAAGATTTGCAGATTTTAGGAAAGAAAAAACAACCTTGAATTAGAAATTCAAAAACTTTGAACAGGAGTCTGGTGGGCAGGAGATGGGAGACAAGAGTTGACAAATGGGAAAAAAATATATGATCAAAACAATCTTTGAAATTACAAAATACCTAATGATTGATTCACTTCAAATTTTATTTAATAAAGGAACTGAAAGAAAGGCATAAAATAGCTAGAAATAAATACAAAAGAAAAACAGAAAACTTGAAGCATATAGATGATAAGAGCAATGCTATATTTGCAACTAGTAGCCTGACAGGCCAGTAAGAAGAGAAACTAGGAAAAAGAACAATCAGGAAGTAACCTGAGAATGGGGAAATGAGGGTCCAATCAGGGTTAGAACGTTACTCACTTCAAGAGATATTTGAAAATCAAAGTGAAAGAAAATGAGTTTTCGGTTGCCCTTACTTGTCCTCTTTCAGAATGAGTCTGTCCTATCTGTGTACTTACCAGATACTTTAACAATTCTATTATATTGTGCACATGTGCAAAATACAGAAACTGGATCTTTATATAGTGACTCAGAAAAAATGGGGAGTAGAAGATTCTCTGGGGGCCAGCCAATGTGAAAGTATCTTGCATTCTC